GAAGAACTCAAGCATCAGCACAGGCTCTGTGCCGAACAGGCTCTCAATTAACCCTCATTAAGTGGAAAGATATTACCGAACACATTTATCAACATTAGAGAACAGCTGGGAGGCACCAACACTACACTGCTTTTACTGAATTATAACAGTCCACCATACAGTGTGATTTACTAACAATACATGGACTAAAATCAACATAACAGTGGATGCTATATTTAAAATTAACCAAAGACAAGATCAGCCAAGCAATCTACAGCTGACTACCAACTATTCAGTGTTAGGATGCAAGGTACCTAGACATTTCTGGGTATAGTGTACCTGGAAGCAGAAAAGCCCTATGGAGTAGATGACGTAGTCGTCTCTGGAGGCGCCAATGGACGGTAGCACCGAGGCCATGTTGTACACCCCGAGGCAGAAGAAGAGCAGGAAGGCCAACAGATGGCTCCAGATATTCACCGTCTCATTAGACAGAATGAAGAGGCTGCAAAGAGGATTTACAAACTTCACTCAGATAAAAGTGGCAGCTCTCCAGAATCCTCTTTTATACAAAGTGAGATCGGTAATCTCAACCCCAGAGTTCATAATAGTTCAGTTCAAACATCTTCATGCTGCATGAACACGCAGAAAGTCAATCCCTTGGCTTTGGCAAGGTTCAAGAATGAAAGGAATTTAGTGTAATTAGCTATTTTAACTGGCTGTCACACACCTGTTGCTTTATAGAATCAAACCTTCAAGTCAGCTTGTTGCTTTGCCGAATGAAAATGAATGTAAGTACTGACTTTATCAGTGGATGCCATCAAGTAAACAACTGGCAAACCCTATGTGCAAGGGTGTTAGTGGGTATCAACCTATACTTATTAGGAAATACTTATTTAAGTGTGGTTGGAGAATATTATTAATATGCAGTTGCTCCTTGAGTCAACTTCTACGGCTGAGTAGGCATCCTGACTTCTCTGAGTGGCCAAGAGAAGGGGTGTAACGATCCTTCGATCTGGATCGATCAAACACCCCGTGGTCTGATGAAACAAACACTGATGTTTTGTGTGCTTTTATTTCAACAGCCAGCCATATACATGCGCATTCCCAGTGAAGCACTGCTCTTTTCAAACTGAACAAGTGCCAGGAGAGCATTCTGAGACTGGGAATTCACACCAAGAATGAGATGTGAGCATCACAATAAGCTACTGAAGTGCTTTATCTGTTCAGTCCACACCGGCTCTAACCTCCATGCAGCGTCACTGTCGTCAGAACAGCTGTCTGTCAGGAGGACAGTGACTGGCCAAACAGACCGTGGGGATTATGCTTTCTTAAACACACCGGAGAGAAGAAACTTTTAAATAAAACTCCTACTGCATTGCAGGAAATGTTTTTTTTTTGTATGTGTGATGATGTAAATGCTTCCTATCACAAAAACGTTAGTTGAATTGGAAGGTCATCACTGGTCCTCATTTGTATTTAAATAGCACCTGAAAGTGAACAGAGGAGTTTAATACATTTTAAAAAGTATACTTTTGTTACACTGAAATCCTGCTGATCCCCTGGTCTGTTCTCTCATTCTCACCTTTTGATGCACAGTCTGGAGGGCAGGTAGGCTCTGTATCCATCTGTGATGTAGGGGTTCTCCCTCAGAAACGCTGGGATCTGTTCGTAGGTGTACAGTCTGATATCTCTGGGCACCAGCACAGGCCAGTACTGATAACTTCCCAGCTCAATGTAGTGTGCAGTCTGGGCGCTCTTCTGCGGCATGGCTGGGCCAGAAGAGTCTGTTTTAGCCTGTCCTAAAGCTGAGAAGTCAGATTCAGATACGATCCAACTGAGCCTGTGTCCTACATAACAGGTCTAATTAAACAGAGCATGGTTGACCAGTTTGATACTAATATCATCCGCTGCAGCAGGTGAAAGAGCACCGTCCAATGCAAGTGACAACTTAAACTACATCTTTAATAACGTGGTTAAACCAACAAGTGAAGAACAAAGCAAAACGTCAAGGAAAAGCTGGTCCTCTCCACATTATTTGTCTGGAAGAAACCAGAGGAGCTAGCTAAATCAGCTAGCTAACATTACTTTTGTGCTTTAAAGGTGCAGCCACCGGCTTTTCTTGCATGTAAACTCATGTTAGTAATATGTTGACTATCTCCAGCTGAGCTGTGCGTTCCGCTCAAAATATATGGAGAAAACAAACAGCGGATACATCAAGCAGCACTTATTAACAAAATGTATATTTCTGGAAGTAATACTACTCCCAGTCTTTCTCCACCAATACACATTCTGCCATATTAGTAACGTTAGCTGTTAGCTTAACGTTACATTGTACACCGAGCACGGTATCACCGATTATTAAAGTTATTTTATTCCCATAACTGCTCCATTTGTAAATTATTGTAAGCCGACTATATTGAACGAACTAAATGAACTAGAAACCATTCTGAGTTAAGTCACATCGGGCAATATACACTGTCGTTAACCAAATCAGTCTTAAAATAACAGAGTTTTCGAATCTGTTTGGCAGCCACTGCGTTTTAGCTTGGCTTAATCTGAACAGACTAACGTTAACGTAGACGCTAGCTAACATGTCGCCTTGTTTAGAGCCAATACATTAACAGTAAACTTACCTTTTAATTTGGTATATGTCCAGTTGGTGCCATTTGGGGTCTTATAATACATACTACGCATTTGTAAACTTCTGCTATCGACAATTTAACAAAATGTCATGTTTATCAAGTTTCGGCTACATTTTCCAAGTCACCAGTGACGTCTCCAATAATGGACCCCTTCGATGTTCCCAAGGACTGCCTGAATGAAATCAACACAATAGACTCAAAAATTCATGCGTATCAAAACTCCGTGGAAGGACGCTGTGTGATGTGACTGAATGCTCCACTAAAAACTAACAATTCCAAACAATAACAGTTCACTTTCACGCATTTGCATATGAACAACTAAAAGTAACACATGCATAATACCGCAAAAATTGTAAACAACACTCGTTTATTAAACCTACAATGCCATGCTGCACATCATTAGGCTGCATCTCGTTGTTACCACAAAGAAAAACGAATTCATACAGTTCTTAGTAGCTCAAGAGTTAAATATTTGAAATCCTTACTTAGTAGTCAAAAACTAGGCCATTATCCCATCTGAGGTATTCCAAGTTTTTGTTTAATAGGCTATGAAAAAAGTATGAATAATAATGTGAACTTTACTGACTGAACAGTTCCGCGAACTGTCTTTTCTGAATCTTAATAGTTGGCAGACTCATCTGCCAACTTATAATAATTATGTATCATTTTCATGTAGCTATATTTGCCAGCATCTCATGTGTCAGACAAGAAGCAGTAGCACAATAATAATTCGAGTGTGATATATCTAGTCTGACCTTTACATTCCTTGAAATTATAATTACTCATAATGATTTCTCTCTAGTTTAAGTCATAAAGAGTTTCTGAAATGCATGTTTTATGTTTAAATATGCTACTTTATGAATACATTTCTCAATATTAATTTCAAATAACTTTTTATTTTATTTCACTAATGTTTTTAATCTTTAACCTGCTGTTTCTTAAGTGCATAGTAAGCTCTGATAAAAAAAAAACTACTACATTTGAACAGTGCAATTTTATAGTCATATTTATTATTATTACTGAAGACTGCTAATTAATTGTGACCCATGACTTTTTTTAGATTATTACTCTTAAGTATTAGCTAGTGGATTTTTTCCTTTATGACTGGGGGCGGTGCATTTACATAACTAACTTTAACCCCAGGCCATAGTAGACATTACAGGAGTGTGTGTGTTAATGTAACGTAGCCCCACAAATACCCTGAAATGCCACATGCATGGCTGATACAGTATCAACCTAGAAATACGGTTGAACAAGCAGGTGTGGCCGATGTTGAATGCACTCCGTTCAGAGGCGCTCTCGGTGTCTTGGCTGTCATCCCGCCGCACTGTGCGACTGTGTTACATCCTCCTGTTGCTAACTGTCATCAGGACTCCTCATCAGAGCGAGCGCTCTCCACAGACCTCTCAGGTGTGAGAGATGTTGGAGGGATCCCCTCAGGAGGAAACTCACACTCAGCCCTCTCTCTGCTGTTTACACCCCACTTTAATTGCCTCATTCTCAAGTGGAAGTGTGTTCTTCATTATCACCTCTAATACACCTCTCAGCACATCCACTCTGGCAAAGTGTCAGCTGCCAAGTTAAGATAGTAACTCGTGCATGCAAAGGCAAACAAGAAGAATCTCCTGCGGCTGCAGTCACTGCTGGGGTTAGTAATTGATTATGTGGGCCTATTGTTGGCAGTCTTTTGCTACAAATGGTTTTAATAGGAAAGAAACTGTACAATATGTATTTTCTATATTTTAATTATTTGTAAACAATCTAAATATTTTTCCCACTTGGTAATTACCAACTTCAGTGGTTTTTTTCCCTAAATCATTTCTAAATAGAGATACAACAAACTTTACATTTGTAATCACAACTAATATGAAAGGATGCAGGAAGTGAAGAGTGAAAAGGCAAGATGGATTTCAGTGCCCCCAAGGGTCTAGGTGCCCCCAGGGGCACAGGAGCCCCCAGGGCCCCAAAACGTCTAGGGGCCCCCAGAGGCCACAAGCACCCAGAGTTTACTTAAGGGCCCCCAGGGGCCACAAATGTCTAGGAGTCACTTAGGGGCCCCCAGGGGCTACAAGCATCCAGGGTTTACTTAAGGGCCCCCAGGGGCCACAAACATTCAGGGTTTACTTAGGGGTCCCTGGGGGCCACAAGTGTCTAGGGGTTTAGGGGGCCCAAGAATCTATGGGCGATTTAGGGGCCCTAGGTAACTTAAGGCCAGAGCCTTTGTTTGCCCTTGTTTCTTGTTGGAAAGTCAATCAAATAACTTGACCAAGACACAAAGATACAAAACTACTAAAAAGACACGCAAAATGAGACACAAGCCTAACACCTAACCCTAAGGGTACCACTTCAAATTCAAATTCAAATCTTATTTGTATTGCACCAAATCACAATAAAAGTCATCTCAGGACACTTTACAGAGTAAGGTCTAGACCTTACACATGCATAATTGCACATTGACTGTTGACTGCTACACATGCTGCTCCCATGCAGCATACATTCTCTTATTATATTCTTATATATTTTTATTA